GAAGCCGTAGGCATTCGGAGTTACATTTCCTCTCCGTGTCCACCTAACTTCACTTGCCTGATTTAATTTTCCGCAACACGTGGTTAACCACTTAAACTTCTGAATCATTACGGCTGTGATTTCTGATCCCTCATTTTCGTGCTGATAATCGTTCTGAGTTAGGTTCTGGCATAATCAAGAATAACTGAAAAATGAGCTTGTTCTCTGAACTGCGTTTCTCTAGGTGTTTCGTGTCCATAATTTTTTTAAAATGTAAACGCCGATTATCAATCGTGTCCGGGTATGTGCAGATTGGTTGAGCTTTGCTAAAAAAAAACTGCCCTGTACAATGGTCCCTCCCAGTGGCAAAGAAACACCCTTCCGTCGGTGTCTCAGGAACCCTTTTGGAAAAACTTCTCCCAACAGTTTAGTTCTTCTTCGCAATCCCGTCTAATCCCAGGTGTCTCCTGTCTACGCTACACATCGGTAAGCACTGTGTTTTACTATTAAGGCAAAAAATCAGAATTTTTAGGATTTTTGAAGCCAACATTCAGTTTTTACTTAGCTGCGTTCAAGGTCCGAGCAGAGCTGTATTCTACGTAATGCTTTCAAAGGTCTCAGATAGGAGAACGGCCGTCATCTAGCAGCTAACGATGAACAAAGTGGGCTTAGGCCCCAAAGTAAGCGGTCACGATCGATGAGCGGTAGCAATCCTGGATGTGCTAGGTTTACAATTTGATAAGCGTTCTCATCACAAAACACCACATAAATCTGTGGATAGCGCTGTGGCGTGTGTGGCTGGCCACTAAATATGCCCATTACCCCCATGTCGAGTTTCATCGAACCGAAGAAGCTCTCCAGATTGACGCATCACCAAAAACTGACTACTAGCTCATCTGGATTATCGCTGTTGCCTTGCAGTAAGCAGTCGGTTGCGCCAAAGCTGAGTGAACCCTCGAACAAGGCCTACTTGGAATCGGCCGACCAATTAGTACAAAAGCCCATGACAAGGAACTTTCCTGTTCTAACGGCTCTGCAGTTTAAAGCTTCTTCGTTCAGCGCAAAGCATTCTGCACTTTAACACACCTTCATGTCTCTCCAAACCTCTCCCATTGCATCTTCACCCCGTCCGATACCTCCAATTTTATTGGGTTCTCCAGACGATCATACTAAACGCAATGCATCAAGTGGAAACTCCGCAACTGTTTTATCGCGTCCTACCTCGACTGCCGTCTAGGTCTGAAAGAATCGTCCACCAGCCGAAGAACTTCTTCGTTCTCGATGTCCGTTCTACCTAAGCACAATCTGCATACTCTGATGCGAAAAGAACAACAGGTATGTTAAGCTCATACACTTAAGGCCCCTCCATAACTTTAGTCATTGTTTTACATTGGCACTATGACTATTCTGAAGCCGGTGAGTATCTATCTATCCGTGTCTATCTATCTATCTATGGCAATCTTAAAAGACAGCACAAATATAAGTAGATATATCACTTTCGATGTAAAATAAACTGAACAACGTACCGAAATCAATCCACTCTACAGCTATATATATATATATATATAATTCCGGGGACCCTTAAGCTACGGATTCCGGTTTTGCTGGCGTCAGCTTAGCTCTCAGTCAGAGAACTGAAGATGCACTTCTAGATTGGTTTTCAGTCGACGGTAGGTTAAGCGTAGTGATACTCAGAAGTTCGTGCAAAGTAAGCAGCCGTCACACCGAGACGAAACGTCCTCCTTATATCTTCGTAATCCCAAACGGACTACACCTACTAAAGATGACTGTTTTTTTCCGAAAACCACAAACTTTCGTAAAGCAACACGGCTGATATCACGATTTTAGCAGCAATGAAGCCCAGCTGGAAAATACTTTTGAAATAGATTCCTGTCGCTTGGGCAGGGTTGTCCCTCATTCTCGGCGGATTGTACAATATGCGTGAGATGCAGACTGGGCTTTTCGTCGGTCGGGGATGCATCCATCGGACAGCTGCTAGGGCACCGTCGTGCCTAACAAAGATCAGTGTGTTCTTAGACATCTGCGCGGCCTTCGACTGTATCCACAGGGCCGCACTATAGAGCTGTTTGTTGAGGACTGGAGTGCGCGAGAAGTATTTGTCGATCCTAGAAGAATTGCACCGAATTACCGTGGGTCCAGTTGGGAATATCCATCAACCTATCGCCTCCACTGGAATGCGGCAAAACCGCCCTATATTCCTATTTGTCTGCAACTTCATCATAGGACTTTTTTATAACAAACAGCAGATGGGGCGAACTCCATAGCCACGAGGACCTGCTGTTCAGTGATGGAAACCGGTCATCTAAGCCCCAAGAATTGGAGTGGCGGACCACACAAGGCTCCGCTGGGCTAGGCGTCGTACTGAACCGGACGATAGCAAAGCTGCCTACCACCAGGACGCTTTGTCCGGTTTAGCAAAGGGTGGAGTCGAACTCCTTCCAGGGAACATAGTCCACAAATGAGAATATGCCGATGAAATCACGTTGTTGACAGTACACAGGTAGTTCAACACACTCTAAACCGCTTGCCCATTAGTATGTGCTTTGCGCCATCCAAATGCAAAGTGTTTGTTAAAGACTGGTAGGATTCTGTACCTACTTTCACACTTTATGGTGATCGGCTGGAAGTGGTCGAGAACTTTGAGTACCTAGAGCTTGATCGCTGCTGATGGTGATGCTGG